CTATTTCTACGGGTTTGTGTCAAGTGCGCCAAAAGCGGTGCTGGGTATTGTCAATTGTCCCCCTTCTATTGACTATTTCACTAAATTCAAATCAGCTCTTGAATCGTTGGGTGCAGAGTATGCTCATCATGTCATCATGGGTGATTTTAATACCAATCTCCTAGATCAAAATTCCTCTCGTGCCTGTAAACTCTAACTCCTTCTTGAATCGGTCAGCCTTCATGTTCTGCCAGTACATGCCACTCACACCACAATAATATCGGCGAGGACACTTGGCTCGACCTAATCATTACTTCCAATCCTTCCCTTGTTTCCTCTCATGGTCAACTAGACGCTCCCGGATTCTCACATCATGACCTGATTTTCCTCCCCTATATCATCAAACCTCCAAAACCTAAACCTAGGATTCTGTACAGGCGTTGTTTTAGACGAATCGATATCGACAAAATGAGTGACGATGCGTCACGCATTGACTGGTCTTCCCTGATCGATTCCACTTCGATCGATGACAAGGTGCACGTATTTAATGAAGCAGTGACTAAATTGTACGATACCCATGCACCGGTGAAAAAAGTTAGGTTTAAACGAACGCCGCCACCCTGGATGATCAGGGGTATACAGATGGCCATGAGACGCCGAGATCGGGCTTTTAGAACTTATAAGAGGGACCGTGTCGAGGTTAACTGGCAACTGTATAAGTCTGCGAGAAATCGGTGTAACCAGACGATACGGAACGCCAAACGTTGCCATATTCTTGACATCTGGAAGTTCCTTGGAACTCTTGGTGTCGGCAGATCGCGACATGTAGACTTTCCACAATCCATAAGTCTCGATTCCCTAAACCAACACTTTATCACTTCTTTCACGTTGAACAGTATATCTTTACATAATACTCTGAATTATATCAATAGTCTACCGCGCCCTAACTTAAGCCCTTTTCACTTTAGTCAGGACTAGAGTGAAAAGGGAAAAGTGTAGCAGAAGGAGAGATTAAGAAGATTATCTTGTCTATCAAATCCCAAGCGGTTGGTTATGATGGAATTAGTCGGCGAATGATCACCACATTGCTAGTCCACCTCCTTCCCGCTATCTCCCATATTGTAAACTCCTCCCTCATGTATGGCACATTTCCTTCTCTGTGGCGGAGAGCGTACGTGCGCCCGTTGCCTAAAACTCCTAATCCGTCACTTCCCACTCATTTTCGTCCTATTTCTATATTATCCTTCCTCTCCGAAGTGCTGGAAGCCTGCGTCCATAAACAGTTCTCCCACTTCATTCATAGGAATAATTACTTAGTCCTTTCCAGTCAGGGTTTCGACCAGGCCATAGCACGGTTTCCGCTATTATTAAAGTAACTGGCGACATTAAGGGGGGGAAGGAGAATACCAAGGTTACTACCGTAGTACTGGTAGATTTTTCTAACGCCTTTAATACCGTCAGTCATGAGCTCCTACTTGCTGTCCTATCCCATTTCTCGGTCTCTCAAGAAGCACTTGACTGGTTTTCCTCTTACCTTCGTGATCGTCAGCAGTCAGTCAGTATGGAAGATTCTTTCTCTGGCTGGTGTGATCTTGCAGCTGGCGTCCCTCAAGGCGGTATTCTTTCACCTCTTCTATTTTCCATCTTCATTAACCTTATCACTCTTAGACTTCAGTGTTCCTATCATCTCTACGCTGATGACTTGCAGTTGTACTACCAAACAGAGATGTGCAATATATCGTCCGCGGTTTCGATTGTAAACAGTGACCTAGCGGCCATTAAACATTGGTCTGATATGTTTGACGTATCGGTGAATCCGAACAAATGTCAGGCCATTATCATCGGGAGTAACCGTGATATCAGCCAGCTCGACCTTGCTACAATGTCACCTCTTTTCTACGATGGTATGGAGTATATATTGACATGACGCTTAGTTGGCGGAAACAAGTTGCTTCTGTGTGCCAGAAAGTCACAGGCTCGTTGCGGGCCCTCTATAGGCTTAAGAACTTTCTGCCAGTGAAAACTAAGATAATGCTTGTTCAGACTCTAATATTCCCTATAATTGATTATGGTGATGTGTGCTACTTTGACCTGAATGCAGATCTACTCAATAAGCTTGATCGCCTTCTCAATATTGCATTCGATTCGTTTTCAATTTACGAAAATATGATCACGTGTCTCAGCATAGCTCCCTTTTAAAGTGGCTACCAATTCGCCAACGCAGAGAGACACGGGCATTAACTACCCTATATTCTTTACTCTTTTTTCCAAGTGCTCCTTCTTACTTAACTAGTCAACTTCAATATTTAGTTGCAAACACGCTAAACCCCTTAGATCTTCAAGCGATCTACTTCTTCACTGTCCCACTCACCGCACTGACTTCATATATTCTACTTTTCTGGTACAATCTGTTTTGTTGTGGAATGCTCTCCCTCTCGAGTGTTAATATGGTATATGATATCCTATATGTGCTATATTTTTTCTTAAAATCACATTTTTCATTTATTTTGTGCATCTACCATGTTTTGGCTCTGCATCGCCCTATGTTTGGTTGACTGGGAGAAAATGCCTACGGCATTAAGTCCGCCTTTGTCACATTTGTGCATAAAGTGTAAAATAATAAATAATAATAATAACTTACCTCAGGACATGAAACACCTAATCATTATATTAGGCACCTGTCGTTTAGCGGCACTACTAATAGATCAAGCCCATAAAGCATCATATCACGGCGGAGCCCGCCTTACATCAGCATTTATAAGGCAAAAATATTGGCTAGTTGGAGGGAACAGGATTGTTAAGAAACATCTTTGCAATTGTGTCAAATTTAGGCGCCACGATCCTATCAAGCATGATCAAATCATGGGTGACTTACCTGCTGCTAGGACCATTCCTACTAGACCGTTTTATCACACTGGTGTCGATTACACAGGATTTGTTTGCGTCAAATCAAGCAAAGGTCGTGGCATAAAATCTTCAAAAGGTTACATAGCAGTGTTTGTATGTATGGTGTTGGTCACGTACCGTGCATCGCACCGGCCGTGCATCTCGTACTTGTGTCTGACCTTAGCTCTTCAGCATTTCTGAGTGATTTACGTAGAATTGCCGCTCGGAGAGGAGCTCCCGGGAACATCTATAGTGACAATGGCACCAACTTTGTAGGCACAAACAAGATTCTTAACAGGGAATAACTAGATCACGTGACGTTATTGGATCATACATTCTATACGTCAATTACTGATATGAAAATTAAACGGCACTTCAATGCCCCTGGATGGCCAAGTGCTGGAGGTCTTTGGGAAGCGGCCGTAAAAAGTCTCAAATATCATCTGAAAAGAGTCATCGGCGATCAGAAGTTGACCTTTGAAGAATACGCCTCCCTCCTAGCGCAATTAGAAGCGTCTTTAAACACCAGACCTCTGTGCTCTCTAACCGAAGATCCAGACGGCCTCGAGTATTTAACCCCTGCTCATTTTTTAACTAGCGGTCCGGTTAACACTATCATAGAAATGGAGAGAGACCAACGAATACGAATGCAACTTACGCAAAAAATCTTCGCTGATAATTGGAAAAAATGGCAAACTGAGTATCTAAGTCAATTAACCGCTCATAGCAAGTGGCGGCATCCGAAGGAAAATCTAAAGATCGGCGATGTTGTCGTAATTCATGAAGCAAATCTACCGTATGGAAAATAGGCTCTCAGTAGAATTATTACATTACATCCAGGAAAAAATGACTTCGTACGCGATGTCAGCCTAAAAACTAAAAACGGCAGTATCAAACGACCGATTACTAAAATTTCTAAGTTGCCAGTACAAGAAAGTGATACAGTTGACCAAGCCTGCAAGTTTCAATAAAAACACGACAGTGCCATAACCTGTACTGTCAAACGGTCTGTAAACCTCTGCCTATATCATTATGTGTACTTGTTATTTATAATGCTTATAACAATGACACCAGTGTATTGTACATATCAAATATCAAGCCTCAATAAAAGTCGAGGGTTTTACTTTGATCGAATCTCAAACTTACGCCTACAACGAGATCAGTGGAAACTAATAATATACTACGATATGAATCCCTACTGGCAAGCCTCAGAATTACTTAGCAAGTATATAAATCATTTAGATCGCGTTTGTATCAATGAAACAAAAATAAATATATTACAATGTGATGTAATCCTTTTACAATTACACCACGGGCGTAATGAACTCGAACACTACAACAATGTTTTGCTCGGTAAGCAGTTTCCACGACACAGGGAGCACGTCCGACGCACGCGAGGCCTAATCGACGATGTCGGGTCAGTGGCAAACAAACTGTTCGGAGTATTGGATCAGGAATTCGCAGAACAGTACGAACGAGACATTGAGGCTATTAGAGAGAACCAGAAACATCTTGCCGGCCTCTGGAAAAATCAAACTTCGGTTGTAGAAGGAGAATTTAATCTTATAAAGAGAGTTGAAATATCTGTCAATAAGCACAGTAAACTTTTTAACCAACATATGTATGTATAAAAAACCTCGAAAAATCACTAAACAGGCAAAGCGATAATCTACATGCCGTGTCAAACTCGGCCGACTTTACATTGTCAGTGGTTATCGCTCAAGGTATTCTAGTAAACTTACAGAATATACAAAATACGATCATCGATTCGCTAACTGATATTTATGCTGGTAAATTTAACTTCTATCTCCTTACTCCAGAGCAGCTTCGAGAGGAGATGAATATCATTACAAGTTTGTTATCAAACGACTTATCATTGCCTTTGAATAACCAACAAAACATCAAAAATGTACCACCTTCTCACCGTAAAAGCTAGAGCTACTAACAAGTATATCATTTTTGAGATCTGGATCCCTCTGGTTAACCGAGACAATTATGAGTTATACAGATTTATATCAGTTCAACAACAAATGGGAAACGCAATGACCAGCCTTATTCCTCTATCAGATTACATGGCAATAAATATAAAACAGGACTCCTATGTTAGGTTATTTGAAAAAGAGTTACATAACGGTATGGAAATTGAGAAGGACACTCATTTATGTACAATGAAACAGCCTATTCAAAAAAGGAGGTCTGGCGAAAGTCTCTGTATAAAAAGTCATCTTTCCAATCAATGTCTAAGCTCGACCTTAGCCTGTGTAGATTCCTGGAACGAGTTGAATACAAGAAACACTTGCCTGTATTTCTGTTGCGGTCATTGCTCTGTACGTATCATATGCGGGAATCAAATAACCGCCGAGCGATTACATAAGCCTGGTATAATAACAATAAGCGATGAATGCATTATCAAGAGTGACAGTTTTATAATATATGCTCACCAAACGCCATCAAATACCTTAGAGAGAGGAGCTGACGTCATAAGAATTCAGATTCCTCTTATTAACAACATTTTAAACATTTCAATACCAATAGCAACTGTCGAGAATCAAACCTTGCACTCGGAACATCAAAAGTATTTTGAAGAAATGGACGAACAGATAAAGCAAATGAAAGGTAGCGCGTCAGACGGAGTGCTGGCCGAGCACATATCCTATCATGACGTACATCACTATGTCGTGATCTACGTAATGCTGATCGCGGGAGCTATCGCTCTCGCTGTGCTGGTGTGGCAGCGTCGGCGAGCACGATCAGCATCAACCCCGAGCCTTGAAGCGCAGCCGTGCACGGAAACACGGTCAGCGCAAGCAGCGTGCCTGGAATCGCAGGCAATTAGGCAAGCGCCGGCGTATCAACGTACAGGAATGCCTGACGTCGAACTCCCAACAGCGAGCAACGAGCCTTTTTCGGTCAGATGTGTTAGTGAGACTGCAGTGAATCAGTGTTATGTGTCTAGTGAGTTAAACTTCGAGGAAAACATGCCGCGAATGTAATCTGAAACATCATACATTACTACATTTTAATAAACTTACCTACAATGAACCAAATGTTGAAAGGGAGCATGACAGGAATACGAATCCAGGTCCTTCAATCCGGCTCGAAGGACCTTTTAATGTACAGTGTCGTGAACCGTATACTACTATTAGTTTCTAAGTTTAGGTGTGAGTGTGTTGGTGAGAGGAAACTCTTCACGTAGTATTTTAAAGTTTATTGTTCACAAGTTACGTAAAATGATATAAAGTGATTCTTACAACGGAGTAAACGTTACGAACTTAAAGTGCACACTGAGTCAAATTAATTATTACGACGGACGGAAAGGAATCTACCGTTTTGCGTAATCAGCTAAATAATATTTTTGCCTAAGTGTACGTAAACCGTACAAGTTTATTTATGTGCAATAACTTACATACCTCAGTAAAAACGAATGACATAAACTCTGTTCCCTGATCTGTAATGATTTTCTTCGGAATACCATATCTTAAAATAAAATTATTTACAAATAACCTAGCTACTGAAACTGTATCCTTCCTTTCTAAGGGATAAGCTACAAAGTATTTAGTTAAATTGTACTGTAACGTTAGAATGTACGAGTACTTAAAGTTATAATTATCTATATCTAATGGACCCATTATTTCTAAACTAACTCGTTCAAATGATGCCGTGGATGTGATGACTATCAGCACCTTAGTGTGCCTGTTGGAGTGGAAGTGTGAAGTGGAGTTGGAATTTGACAACTTTTACACTTTTTAACGTCTGACGGCCTAATTCTGGCCAATAATAATATTTCCTAATATTATTTAAAATCCTATTTACCCCCGCGTGGTCACTCGTATGGAATAGATGGAAGTCATTTAAAATCACAGTCTTCGCGTCTTTGTCATCGACTTTTAAAACCTTGTTTATAAAACTATTATAGCGCTTATTTTTTATTATGACGAACTCTTTTAACTGTATTTGCTTGCAAGCTGAATTTTCAGCTACGAATATGCAACTACCATTATCACTAGTTCAACAGTCTAGTTTTCTAATCTGATTTAACGTATCTTTACTACAAAATAAAACTAATTCAACATTGTCAATTGGTCGTTTGAGAATGTCCACTACTTTAGGCTGATCAGACCTTGGAGCAGTCAGTCTGCAAAATAACGAGCTTGAGCTCTTGTCATAATCAATACTTCATGCTTATACATATCTTTTAAACTGGTGGATGTAATTGGCATGGGTATCCGGCTCAATGCATCTGCAGCTGCGTTGTGCCGTCCCGGGATGTAACTGCTCTCAAAATCGTACTCTTCAAGATAAAGTCTAAATGTAGTAAGTCGGCTTGAAGGATCGATCATATTGAATAAATAAATTAAAGGTTTATGGTCTGTCGTAATATTTAAGGCTGATGATGAGACATGCAAATATTTCTTTTTCGATTCTGCCAATATCAAATGCGCCTATACTTCCTCCTTTTCTCACTTTACTAGTTAGATATCGAGATTTTTTTATATTTACCACTGTCCATTTATCTTCATTTTGTATTTGCACATTTCCCTTTTCGATACCAATAGTGGATTTTTCACTACTTCTCGCCTTATTTATTTCCTGCGTCTTACCAATCATAGGTACGCTCGTAGATTTGGTGGCCACACAATCCTTTTATGGGACATTATTGCGGGGTACATTCATTTGATTTTCTTTAATTACCTTCGCGTATGAGTGCGATGGTTCTTTATACTCTTCCTCTTTGTTATATGCATTCTGTTTTTGGTTTTTCATATTAAGATCTGCCTCTAGCTGTTCATTTCTTTCTATTAGAGCTTTAATTTTGCTTTCTAATATGTCCACTTTATTTGCCTTTTCTTGCACTACCTTCAATATTTTTTTCACTTCACGTAATTCTGTTTCTGTAGTTATAAATCTATTTGTCAGAGTTGTGTACTCCTCCATTTGTTCATCCATTCTAGATTTCATCTCTAACCGAAACTCCTGCAGCTCTTCTATAAGCTGTTTCTCGTAATCCATAGTAGTTACCGCTTTCGTATTGCGAAGACTACCTCGTTCCAAATTGACATAACTGCTCGGTGTGAATGCTATGTTGCCTCGGACCGGTGTATCTGAGTTATCCGTCTTAGGAATAGTGCAAGTGCAAGTTTTTTTGTACATCAGTGTAAACGCCTCAAACTTCTCGACTGTCAAGGCAAGACACTTTAAATGATATGGTTTCTCACATTTTTCTTGCGAAAACTTCATATACTCAGTATCACATATTTCGACATGGCAGCCACCACACTTCTCACTCATTTAGTAAGTTTCAATTTGATTTTTGTTTTATTAAATTCAAAGCAAACAACAAACACGTCCACACACGTTGCCTTGAAACTAAATATTAAAATTTTCTAAACAATTAGTACTTATATCCGAAAAATGTATACTTACCGAACTATTAGTAGTATTTAAAATCCTAACAGGAATGAAATATTTGAGTGGTTTCTATCCCATACCCGCTGTGTAAACAACTTTATAAATTTCTTTAGACAAAATGACGCAATCACTATCTTGTGACGTCGGAAAGTGTTTTATTTGTACTTCGCAACGAGGCGGAATTGTAAACATATTGTTACAACTACTATAAACTGGAATATTAACTGATTGGTCTCTGTTTTCTATACTCAAACTACCATCTTTATAATTTAATATCCCGTTATATCTTTCTTTATGAGATCCTGAGAGAATCCTGACCGAGAATGCCTTCTGCGGTACAAGATTCTCGAAAATATAGACCTTTTGATTGAACTTTATGCCGTTAATAATAATATCTAAGTAAATATATCCCAGAGATTCTAAATAACCACTAATCCCCTTAATAGCTATCTTAGCCTGCTGCATTAAACCTAACAATCTCTCGTGTCGCGACAACCATTCATACTTAAGCACACATAAACTCAATCCGCTATCTGTGAATAAATTAAAATTACTATTATTTCTAAGTTGTCAATTAACAGAAATTACTAAAACTAAAAATGGAATGAGTGCATTCCTTAGGGACGAAATAATTCTAAGTTATTAGCAATGGTCGCATCATTTTGAACATTGGACTGTTGCACGCTATGCTGGACATATTGACAACGTGCTACGTCTTTACTATTACCTCGATGTATAAATCACGAGGGTCTTTGACCGGTACTCGTGCCATTGTACTGTGTGCGATTTATTTAATTGCTATCATAATTATTATAGAAGTGATTATTACCTCGGCCACGAACACCTCGTTTATTGTTTAGGGTGGCCCTAAACTGCATGACCTGATCTTGATGTTGGGCACACATGGACTGTTCGTATACCGCGGCTCTAATGGCCTCAGGCAATGACGTAAGCCGCTGTCACAGGATAGGTCGACAATCGTCAAGTGAGAAACCAAGACCAAGACCCATCCTAGTAAAATTTAGGACAGTAACGGTGCGGGACAGGGTCTGGGCAGCTAAGACCAAACTGAAAGGCACTGGTGTGATCCTCTCGGATTTCTTGACCCTGTCGCGACACTCGCCTTCATGGCAGCACGCGAAGAATTCTTAGAATATTTAGGGGTAGATTTCTTTGTATCAGGGTACTTTTGCCTGAAATTTTTCACAACCAAAGAAGGAATTGTTTTTCTTCTTCGTCCGTGGTAATTAGTTTATTAAATTCTTCAATCAATGCTACACCGCGTTCCGCAATGTCATTCACCACTCTCATAGAACGTACAATTTCTCTGGAAGCTTTGTAGTCTTCATCTTCTTGCCAAAGACGAGGTTCTTTTTGCAGAAATTCAGACGGAATTCCCAGGATTCTAAAAAATCTTAAGGTGTTGCTGGTCACGAAATCCTCATTTTTTTTTTAATGTGACTTAAATCCAAGGTGATTCGCTTTGGGCACCTTTGAGTCTGAACCTTCCTCATTGAGTGCAATCACCATTTTTTGTTTGCTTTCAAGAGAAATTTCGTCATCAAAAAAAGCAAGCACAACAAATTCTTTGGACAGATACCACAATTGCCCCAGGAACTTCGTGAGAGCTTTTTTGGATATAGCTTTGTTTAAATTTTCAAATTTCTTGAGACGTGTTAATAGCCACAAGTCATTCCTTGGTGCCGAAGTTGCCACGGGAGCTTGAAACCAGCATCTTACATAAATCGTAACGACAAAGACGCAAATTTCAGTAATGGCTTTAAGTTCTTTTTTTTTTCAGTTTAAACTGGTCTCTGAACATAAAAAGCTAAAGGCAATAAATTGCACACCTCCCAAAAATATTATTGTAAGTGTCAAGAGTTCCTTGTAATCGTCACGTGGTTGATAATCATTGAGCTGCTTTTCAGCAAATGAAATTGCGATGCTTGCTATATTTTCTACGTATTTTAAAGCGCCAGGGTCAGAGAGAAGGAAAACTTGACACAAACCCTATACCAACCCCGTCTGGCCAGCGTGGTGTAGTAGGCCAAAACCTCCTTTCTAAGGAGAGGCCTATATCCAGCAGTGGACTGGTAAAGGCTGTCGATGACGATGATGATGATTTTAAAGCGCCAGGGTCTAAAGAAACTATATTGAACTTATTCTGGTCAATATTAAGCCAAGCAGATCTAAATCATTTGAAGATCAATATTTCTGATCCACTTGATGGACCTAGTGCTTGAACTACCATTGCTTCTAGCAGTATTTCTATTATATGATGACGACAAGCCAATCAAAGAGCATCTTTTTCCATATTTTGCTCTAATAGAATACCGCGTTTGCGTTTAAATGGGACTTCTAAATCTGCCGTCGAAGGTCCCGCCCTCACTGAAATTTCATTGAACCTTTACTCTCATTATCACTACTGCTAGTCGATGACGATGGTATGCACCTTTCTAGCAGCAATTCAGTGTAACTTTTTTCTCGATCTAAAATACGTTGAAGGCGAGCGTTTTTCTCCTCTTCTTTCGCTATTCTTTTTAAAAGAACTTTGTCCACGGCGCCTTTTGTTCCAGAGCGTCCT